GGGATCACAAACATCTGCTATTTATCCGAGACCCTAAATTAGTTACAAACTCAGTACAACTAATACAAAGTAAGTCTCCTTTGACTGAAGCTACATCCTTGTAGCATTCTTGACAACTTCATGCACATGTTGTTTTCTTGACAGCACAACAGACGTGGTTTGGCCTTGTCTTTTTCAGGGATGTGTTTTTGACTTCCCAGCCTTGTCTAGTGCCGTGGGACTTTCCAGTGGTCTATCACCAAGTTACTAACAAGCTGAGGCTTGAGATCATCCAAGGCCAGGTTGGTATTAGTGCCTATTAATGTTTTTGATCCTTATTACAATCTTAATATAAGGGAAGTATAGATATAAACACTAATGAATGGCAGATTGGTCTTCTGAATGCATACGACCTTAAGTTTAGGTTGCAGTTTAGTTTACAGTGTTTTATGAACTCAGCACCCCTAGTTTATAAACCAAGGATTTTGGCTTAGTTTACAGTGTGAATTGGACTCACCAGATGGGTGGATTTAAGCAGTCTTGGCTGATGTCAAGGAAGCTTGGCTGGCAGTGTAAAGGAGTACAGAGATTATGGAGACATTTTGCAGAGACTTTTAGTAAAACATGAGCTCAGTCTGGGGACATTGAGAAAGAGACTTAAGACTGTCCTACTTTTACTTTCTTTGCTCTAAGAGGGAGGGAAGGGGAAACACTGACTTTCAAAAGACTAGTGCACACACTAGCACTGATGATGTTACCTAGTTGGGTCATGAAATGTCTGCAAGAAAACAAGCAGGCTGAGAGAACACAAAGGACCCTCATTTCAACTCTGAGTTTCAAATATTCTCCTTCATTGAAGAATACTTCTCATACTTTGTTTGTTCAAACTGAGCTGATATTTCGCTAATAGTTTAAGATCATATTGTTCCAACAATCTCCACATATCTTCCCCAAAGTCATCTGTCTACTCCTCCACATTACCTAGATGGAGGAGTAGGAAGATACCCCAAAGATGTAGGCTAAACTAGAAAGAAAAAGAAGTCCCAAACCTATCCTGTAAGAAGACAAGGGCAATCCACCTTTATATTGTTGCCCGCAAAACACGACCATGTTCATAAAGTCGCCAGCACTTGAACTCAGCTCAGAGGAGATCTTACCTTCACCTTTGTGTCTGCCTATCAGGGATAGTCCATGGGCAGGTGTTCATACAGTGCCAGATGGGGCTAATATTTAGATGGGAAACTACCAAAAATTAACTCAGCTGTTTCCTTTTTATTGCCAACTGTGGTTTATTCAGCAATCCATAATCCAACAAGCCATGTTTTAGCTGACTGCTCGGTACGGCAATATAACCCTCCCACTCCATATTCTGCGGGGATATCTCTTGTTTCATCTAACTTGAATAAGAGATTCTGTCCAAAGGCAAAGAAAACATTCCTGTAGGACATATCTGAGGACAAAAATTGTGTCCTCAGCTCAGTGCGATGATTAAAATTGTCTTCTTTTGGTGGAGGACTCAACTTCTTCTCCAGTCCTGATTTTCCTTCTTTGCTCGTCATCTTCTCACTTCTCACAGCTACTGCTTTTAAAACAGAAGTTGGAAAGCCTAAAGCACTCTTAGTTTCTCCAAAATTTGGGGAGAATTTTTAGGCCCTGGGTCAAACTTTTAGTCACACCTGAAGGGCTCACATCTAATCAGGGTGTAATTCATAGAAGTCTTGCAATGAATGAAGGTAGGTTCAACGCTTGATGAAATGGGATCTATCCATCCAACTTAACCGCAAGTATAAAATAAAACAGTCCAAAATTTAAATCATGTAATTATAAGATTAGAAGTACCATCACCACCATCACCTCAGATATCAATAACCTCCGCTACTCCTGGATCCATGCTTCTTGGATTTCACCATGTTCAGCAGCATAAGCCAATATAGTTCCATATGTACACGTGTGTGTGGGCGAGATGAGGACACGAGCAATCTATGCCGGTGTGGTCACAAAAACCATTTTGTAAGAATAGGCGAAGTCCACGATGTAGGCAATGAGGTTGAAGAAGGAGAGAAAGGTAATTCCCAGGTGATTGTCCCACATGGCGCAGCCCGCGGAATTAGAAGTACACGAAGGTCTTGATTTGTTCCAAAAGCTGTATAAAGGCCATACGACCACCACCGTAAGATACATGAGAACAGCCAAGATGTTGTAGGCCACGAGAGTCTTCTCCACAGGGATGGGCAGGGAACCAAGGCAGCGTCCAATGGTGAGAATGATGATCATCATGGTGAGAATGAAGCAGATGCAGTAGACGGCCACACACCATTCCAGACCAGGATAACTCTTGTAATAGGAAATGTTGTTCAGCAAGGAGAAGATAAGACAAGCTATGTAGGCCTCAAATACCTTCAGGAGGCCAGGGATGGTAATCAGGAAGTTACTGAGCTCCCCTGCTTTGGCCCGGGTGAGTCCTACTTCTACTGTGTAGGCAATGAAGCAGAGGCAAGACATGACGGTAGCCCCAATCTGGTAACCACAGTTGTAACTCTTGCAGAGAGGTATGAAGGTTGCTGGGTAGACAATGGAAGTCGTAAAGATCATCAGAGTGGCCAGCATGGAGAAGGCAGAGGTGAAGTCCTGCCAGGAAAGAGGTAGGGCCGTGTCTAGGCTGATCAGCTCCATAATCACCACAAAGACAGAAATGATGAAGCAGAAGCACCAAGTAAACATCGACCAAGCCCCATAGTTTCCATAGTAGTTTTCATAGACAGCTGCTAAGCTGAAAGCAGCGCAGGAGAAAAATATCTCCAACAACCGAATGATCCCCAGCGGAGAAATCAGGGAGCGCCCATTGAACTGAAGGGTGACTGACATGGTGGCCCCGGTGCCAGCAGGGCGAAGAGGCCACAGGAAAGACGAAAGACCCAGCAAGGCGTGTTGAGAAGCTGATCAGAAAGCCTACGAGGGTGCGGTACTATATTAGTCTAGGCACTGCCCCAAAGCCCAGGAACGCCCAGTTGGAGGGATGGTTGAAAGTCTCAATGGAGGGTGGAGCTCTGCCATTGCTTTAGGGAGTTTCCTAGAAGCTCTCAACTTTTGATAAATCTGGGACAGGCCAGGGAAACGAACTAGCAGCAGCAGAAGGGCTGCTGTTGCTGTTCTGCTAAAATCTTTCCCCGTCAAGCTTTCCACGTTGAGTGTTCTCATGGAAGAATGCAAAGTTGATGACGTCACCTCGAGGAGTGTTCGCCTAAGGGAAGGGCCGAAGAAGCCCGCCCTGGGTGTCAAACTGTGCTCTTTGGATTGTAGCCTTTCACTGCAAGCGGTTTCTGCTTCAAAGCAGGAAAAGGCTTGTCCGGGAAATGAGAGGCAGGTAGATGATTAACGAGACTGAAGTTGATAAGGTAATAACCACCTACTGCACCTGCTGTAGGCGCAGGGAACCAAATCTTTCAGACCTTCATCCGAAGCTAGGAAGGAATGAAGGTTCTGCCTGTGTGACTCCAGGGGGTAGAGATGAAAGTGAAAAAGGGGTTGGGGTCCTCCCCAAAAGTTGCATCCATTTCTAGATTGTGCTTACTCTTCCTTTTCAAAAATTGCTTTCTGGTTCTTGTGAAGGTAGAAAAGTCACGTTGTTTTCTACTCAGTCCAAAGTACACCCACCTACTCCTTGATCGTGGGGTCAAAAGTGATTTACATGCTTTAGAATGCTTTTTGAAACGTAATTCCAAGGATCTTGAAAGACACGGAAGAACGTGCCGCGACCTCTGCACTTCTGGTTTGCAGGGGTTTCTCAAGAATAGCCCATAATATTTGACAAAGGATATATTTTCCCTATCATCACGCTCACTTCTAATTTCTTCCAACCCTAGCAATGGAACAGGAGCTTCCATATCTCTTGAAAATAGCTCGACTTATGAACCTTGTCCTAAATACATGGCAGAAAAGCAAGAAATAGACCTGTCTCTTCCGTGAAACAGCAGAGGAACTGTTACTAATTCTACTTTGGTGTCACCTAGGCCAGTTCTTTGCCTTTGCCTAAGGCAACAGTCAGTCTCCCAAAACATCTGCCTACGTGGACCTTGAGTTTCCCCATGTTCTAAATGAGAACATAATGCCTATCCAGTAGTTGACCCTCAGAGGATTACATCTTCCTTCCCTTTTTCTCTACTAGGGTAGGTTAATGACTTTCCTTGACTTGTTCTAAGTCTTTATGGTAACTTTGCACAATCAGCTATCCTTTGGCCTGGCTAATTTAGATTATAAGAATCATAGTCCCAATAGAATTATAAAATGCTAGATAACCTGTGCCCTGTTGGATTCTTTCAGAGGTATTTCTTTATCTAAACAGAAAAACAGGTGGGCAAAAATGCAGTGTGTGTGTGTGTGTGTGTGTGTGACTTCTGACTTCCTGCCATCTTGACCGTGGTTGATTGTTCTCCAGTAGCTGATAGTGAGTCTGGTCACCAGAGACTTAGGGTGGGTCTGCTCTACCTGATTGCCAATAGCTGACGGATGGACCGGTCTACCCAATCTCTGGAGCTCCGTTCTGTAAGGGGCCCCTGACAAAAAAAAAGAAAAACTCAAAATCTTCTAAATTGGAATTTAATGTAATAACTGGAAAAACTCACAAGCTGACCATGAGCCCTTTGCTCAGGAGTGTCAATGTCATGGAGGGAACCACAAACCTGGGCAATTGAGCAAATTCTGGAAAATGGAAGAGTTTCTCCAGGTCTCTTCTTCTGCACCAACACAGGACCAGGCTGGAAGAAATCTTCTGCATCGTCCCAGGCCCGTGGATCTCAGAACAAGAAGTATCCAGAAGGAGCATTCCACAGTCAGAAACTCACAGCTTTGTGCACGGTGACAAAGGTCTCTTGTGCAGAAGACTGCTTGCGATATCTCATTCCTCCTGTTGTCCAATTACTTTCAGATGAGTAATTTTGGTCCTATCAATCAGTCCAAGTCACATAGGAAGGTTGTCTCTTCATCTGAAGACCATATTTGCTCTCATTAAGTTCTTACAGCTATCTACCTCCCAGTCTGGGACTATCTACAATGAAGAAAGAGTCACCACTTGGGCTAACAGAGTTTGTGACCTCCATCTTTGACCCAACGCGAAACCTTCAGAGTCTCTCCCCCACCCCACCCCACAAGTGTGACGGGGAAGTAGCATGGAGCCACTAGCTTTAGGATGAAACAAAAGAGAGAATTAGGGTGTGGGTTAAGGAAGAAAATAGGTCTGCTAGGGACAGTGGGCTCACACTCAAACCTCTGGAAAGAAGAATCTGCTTCCAAAGGCAGCATGGATATTTTCCTGGAATGTGGGCTAAATTGCCAGCTCTTCTAGCATTGCTCTTCTCCAAGGTGTGAAACTGGATGGAAGACAGATGAAAAGGAAGGTGCCCAGCAGTGGGGCATAGATGCTGAGAGGACATGGGGGCTACAGAGGGAATGTGATGTCTTCTGGGAACATTGCTCCAGCTAATCCCCCCCCCCAAAAGGAAGGGGAAAGCCATCTGCACCAGCTACTGGAGGGGTGGTGGGGCTGAGGCGGTGCAGGGGAGACCATGCTGTCCCGGTGGCTCATAAGTGAGGGAGCTCAGTGCCAGCCAGTCGCCACCTTTGGCTAGCCGGTTGCTTTCATTGAGGCGCTGGATGCGGTATTGTTCATAATGTACACTGTGGGTGATGTCCTTGAGATCCTGGAGGTGAGACCTACAGAGAAGAAAAAGAGGCATCAACGAAACCCTTCCATTCCTCATCATTCAGTTAGAACTGAAAAAGTTCTTGGATGAGAAGCAAAACATTTTCAAGGAACCCCCCCCCCCCCCAAGAAAGTCTAGTTGCCTTTTGGAAAAGCATCCGTGACCTGGATGGTTGAGAATCTCCACAGACATCAGCGCAAGTGGTTGGAAAGGGGGAGTTTCCCTTTTTTCCCGCCTTTTTCTTCTGTGTGCTCTGCACGCTGTTCTGTGATTTACCTCATGACAATTTACCTCATGATGTAGTGATGTGCCTGACTATCTTGTTTGCTGTAAATGTAGATGTAAAATATATTTATTGATATAAAACTACAAGTTTGTTTCAGCATCTCTGACTTCATTGGGACACCTGCTGCGCAATTCCCAGACAACTCCCTACCAATTCTCCATTGTTTGGCTCCCAAACTGTTTCTCTCATCCCAGAAACTACCAGAATGGAATATACAACAACCATATTTCTTTCTGATAGCCTCTATATCAGGGATCCCCAACCCCTGGGCCATGGACCAGTACCGGTCCGTGGCCTATTAGGAACCGGGCCACACAGCTGGAAGTGAGCAGCAAGCAAGCAAACCCTACTGTAAACTGTGCATGTGTGGGATCCAAATTGCGCACTCCTCTTCTCCTCCCAGTCCATGGAAAAATTGTCTTCCACCAAACTGGGCCCTGATGCCAAAAATGTTGAGGACTGCTGCTCTATATGACCATTTTTGCAAACTGTTGAGTATCACGACTTCGACTGCTTCTAAAATTAATGGACTGTATGGATATATATCCAACCGTGAAGATCCAACAAGTCAATTCTGGTAGAGCATTTGAAACCCACAGAATAACATCTGGCTACCCACATCTGGCAATTCCCAAGTAGGAGGAAATTGGTACTCTTCTGGTGGTCAATGTCATTGAAAATCTTGTCCCAGAAATAAGTCAGTCTGGAAATGAAGCTTCAGATGTAGGACCCTGAGGAGCACTAAAAAAATATGTCCATCTTGGCAAAACATAGATGGTAAAAGATTGATCTGGTCCTTTTAAATGTGCTTAAACTTAAATGCTCCACTGCTCCAGGCCACTGTTCTCTTTCTGGTAGAGCTTTGGCCTTGGCAAAATTGTCTACTTCTTACCAAGAAGGCAGTTGAGGAGTAATTCCAGTTACAAGCTAGGGCTAAACTTTGTTACAGCAGCAGCTGGATTGCTACGTTCTCGTTTATTTATTTTTTATTTATTCATATCCAGCCTTTATTATTTTTATAAGCAACTCAAGGTGGCGAACATACTTAATACACCTCCTTCCTCCTATTTTCCTCACAACCATGAGGTGGACTGAGCTGAGAGAGAGGAACTAGCCCAAAGTCACCCAGTTGGCTTTCATGCCTCAGGCAGGACTAGAACTCACCATCTCCTGGTGATTGGTTCAAAGTCATCCAGCTTGTTTTCATGCCTAAGGTGGGAGTAGAACTCAGAGCCTTCTGGTGACTGGCTCAAAGTCATTCAGCTGGCTTTTATACCTAAGGCAAAACTAGAACTCCCAGTCTCCTGGTGATTAGCCCAAGGTCACCCAACCAGCTTTCACGTTGGAATTCGAACTCACTGTCTCCCAATTTTTAGCCTGGTGCCTTAATCCAGAGATGGGGAACTGTGGCGCCATTATGACTTGTGGACTTCCTGACCCACCATGGCTGGCTCTTGTTAGCTGACCTCATGCTACTCATGTCACTCAGTTACTCCAGTAAATATAGAGCCAGTAAAAATACTCCAGGAATCCTCCACCATTTTAGCCCAGAATTCCTGCTGCACGTACTGAATGCATACCAAGGGAGAATACCGGAATGCCAAGGAACTTTGCCAGAACGGTCATCAAAACGCAAGAGTTGTGGCTCTCCTATTTCCTTTCTGATAATAATAATAATAATAATAATAATAATAATAATAATAATAATAATAATAATGATGATGATGATGATGATGATGATGATGATGATGATGATGATGATGATGATGATGATGATGATGATGATGATGTTGGAAGGGACCTTGGAGGTCATCAAGTCCAACCCCCTGCTCAGGCAGGTAATCCTATACCATTTCGGACAAATGGCTGTCCAGTCTCTTCTTAAAAACTTCCAGTGTTGGAGCATTCACCGCTTCTGGAGGCAGGTTGTTCCACTGGTTAATTGTTCTCACTTAGGAAGTTTCTCCTTAGTTATCTAGGTTGCTTCTCTCCTTGATTAGTTTCCACCCGTTGCTTCTTGTCCTGCCTTCAGGCGCTTTGGGGAATAGCTTGACTCCCTCTTCTTTGGGGCAGCCCCTGAGATACTGGAACACTGCTATCATGTCCCCCCTCATCCTTCTCTTCATTAAACTAGACATGCCCAATTCCATCAATCTTTCCTTGTATGTTTTAGCCTCCAATCCTCTAATCATCTTTGTTGCTCTTCTCTGTACTCTTTCTAGAGTCTCAACATCTTTTTTACATCGCGGTGACCAAAACTGGATGCAGTATTCCAAGTGTGGCCTTACCAAGGCATTGTAAAGTGGCATTAACACTTCACGTGATCTTGATTCTATCCCTCTGTTAATGCACTGTGTTGGCCTTTTTGGCAGCTGCAGCACACTGCTGGCTCATATTTAGGTGATTGTCCAAACATTTCCACCACCACCCCAACTCAAAAATGGTTAGATTCCTGAACCAACAACTTACCGGATTAAGAGATCCCGCAGCAAAGGAAACTCACAGTGGGCTGAGTTTTCCACTGAAAGAGAAGAACACAGAAGTGCATTTTGAAGCAGAACCAGGGGATAAGATGGGGAGAATCCAAAGGGAAGGCAATTAGGGGTCTCTGGAGGGGGCGGGGGGGGAGCAGGCTCTCTCCACTGAATAGGGACAATTGCATCGAAGTGCTCAGCTCAGCTAGGCAAAAGCAGCATCTCAGGCATCTAAACCACAAATTGCTAAATTAGAATAACCACACATTTTTAAAGGAGGTAAAAAGGAACACGATCTAATATAAGGAAACGGAAAGAAAGAAAAGAAAGGAGCCAAAAGTGAAAAAAAGAAAAAAGAAAGGGAAAGAAATAGAAGAGAGAATACAGATCGTCCTCAATTTACAATCACAATTAAACCCGAAATTTCGGTTGCTCAGCCAGACGTTTGTTAAGTGAATTTTGCCCCATCTTACGACCTTTCTCGTCAAGATGTTAAGTGAATCACTGCAGTTGTTAAGTTAGTAACATGGTTGTTAAGTGAATCTGGCCTCTCCATTGACTTTGCTTGCCAGAAGTTCTCAAAAGGGGATCATGTGACCCCGGGACACTGCGGCCGTCATAAATATGAGTCCGTTGCCAAGCATCTGAATTCGGATCACGTGACTAAGGGGATGCTGTGACGATTGTGTGAGAAAGTGTCACAATTCACTTTTTTCAGTTCTGTTGTAATTTCGAACAGTCACTAAATGAACTGTTGGAAGTCCACAACGACCTTTAATAACTAATTTGCAAAGGAGATAAAAACTAATAAGATCTAATATAAAGAAAAGGAAAGAAAGAAAAGAAAAGAGCTAAAAGTGAAAAAAAACCAAAACAAAAGGTCAAGAAATAGAACATAGAATTATAGGGCTGGAAAGGAACTCAAGAGGTCTTCTAGTCCAACGGGCTATCCAAGGCAGGAGATCTTATACCATCCTAGTCAAATGGTTGTCTAGTTTAGTCTATCTTTGGAAATCTCCAGTGTCAAGAAATTTTCAAAAATAGAAGTGATTAGAAAGAAGGAGCTTCTGGTTTTCTTTACAGCAAGGACGAAAGCAAAATAAGCTTCTATCTACGCTTATAAAGGCAAGCTGTTTTTTTCCTGCCATCCGTTTTTTTTTCTAATCAAAAGAACCATAAATCACGAATTCATTTTTCCCCCCTATTACTCTTAAAATGTCTGCAGGGCATTTCTAATTGGCAATAAACATAGATATCGTCTGTTCTGTAATCAAGGAAGTCCATTTAACCATCTCAGCAAGTTCCTAAAACCATTAATGGTTTTTTGTGCAAATATTTTTCCAGCTGTTTCTGCTATTCTGTGCCCTTCACCATCTCCAAATGCAGGGACATCACTTCTGGCTTGCCATTCAAAAAAAGTGTCCTTTTTTTGAGGGGGGGAGGGAAACTAGCTCTTTATTATCTCCAAGGATTTGAGGAAGTGCAGAGCTTGGTCAACCAAGCAGAAGGATGATGTTGAAGAACCGTTGCAGGAATTGGCTATGTCTAGTCAAGTAAAAAGAAGGACTAGGGGCCACATGATAGCAGTATTCCAGTATTTGAGGGGCTGCCACAAAGAAGAGGGGGTCAACCTATTTTCCAAAGCACCAGAAGGCAAGAGACAGAAGCAATGGATGGAAACTAATCAGGGAGAGAAGCAACCTAGAACTAAGGAGAGAACAGTGAGAACATATAACCAGTGGAAGGTCTTGCCTTTAGAAGTTGTGGGTGCTCCATCGATGGAGGTTTTCAAGAAGAGATTGGACAGCCATTTGTCTGAAATGCTATAAGGCAGCGGCCCAAGACATTTTGGGCACCAGGGATCTGTTCCATGGAGAGAGGCTTCTCTGCAGACTGGAGGAGACGTGGTTTCACGTGCTGCCTGCATCCCATGGATGGAGCTTCGCTTGTTTGCGCTGACCAGTTTCTGGCATGCTACGGACCGATGCTGGTCCGCAGACTGGAGGTTGGGGACCCCCAGTCAAGGGCAGAGATGGGGAACCATGGCCCCTTTATGACTTGTAAACTTCAGCTCCCAGAATCCCCAGCATGGCTGGCTCAGGACTTCTGGGTGTTAAGGTCCACAAGTCATAAAGGGGGGCACCCCTGGTCTAGGCTCTCCTGTATGAGCAAGGGGCTGGACTAGAAGACCTCCAAGGTCCCTTCTAACTCCGTTATTCTGATTCATAGAGGGTTGGCTGGGTAACGTGCCACCCATGAACGTCATATGACACCCAGCCCCACATTACCTTTCTCTCTCTGTCCAACAAGGGTCCATGTTCGTCTACTAAAATTTAGTGTCTAACTCTCCTAACTCTGTAGCATGTTTTTTATTTTCTTTAAAGGAAGGAAAAGTTAGCTGGCTTGAACTTTCCTAGCTGATTTATTGTATCCTGCCTTTATTATTTTTTTACCAATAACTCAAAGCGATGAATCTATTCCACTTACGTTCCTCTTCCTATTTTCCCCGCCACAACATTCCTGTGAGTGGAATTGGGCTGAGAGAGAGAGAGGGACTGGCCCTAAGCCAGCCAGCTGGCTTTCATAGCTAACAGGTGGTTTTATGTTTCTAAAAGTTCCCTCAAAAGAGCAAGAAAAAAAGGGGGTCGCAAAGACACCATCACCAATCTACATGTGTGGAGTTCAGGTTTGCCTAAACGGTTAAAAACTATCAATTGAGGTGAGAGACGAAGCTGAACAGCATGTTCTTACGGCCTTTCTATTAAACAATAACCCATCGCGTACAGCTCCCCACCTCTATATTTTACCCTGAATTAAATTACAACCAAACAGAGCAAAGTGCACAGATCAATGGGGAAGCCAATTGTGCTTAAGTGCAAATATTTAGTGTAATTGAATTCAGGGTAAAATAGAGCAGGGCATGGGGCTAAAAGATTTTCCCATGCTGAAGGAAAGGAGGGAAAAAACTATAATGCACCTTGGGTGCAATAGCAAAACAACTGGAGCACCACTTGAACACCATCATCGGCATTGACAAATTTGCCATTAGTCAATTGCAAAAGGCAGCCTTACTAGGAACCGCTTCCATCCTGTGACGAG